TACCAAGTCTTTTAGCGAACCTATGGTGTCGTTCTGGTTTCGGAGATTTCGTGTTTGATATGAAAGTGTTAGAGATGGAAGGTGACTCACCAAAGTGAGTGAGAATGACTAGACTGACTACTTCTGGTATTACCAGCGTAAGACATCAACTTTACTGGGTTCTCTTATGACAATAGGCGAACCTAGAATCTGAAGAGTAAGTGGTACTATGTAAAACAAACCGTCTTTGAATACCAATAGCGTACTGAAATGTCAAACCTGTACGAGATAGCGCTATGAAAACAGCACAGAATAAAACGGAGAGATGCGAGATCTATTCTGCCGTTCTTTTGTGGAACAAAAGAAATAGTTTCTTGATCAAATGATGAAGTACGAAAACAATTGATTCTATAAGTCTTTCGACTTCGACAAGATCGTTTGTGGAATAGCACAATAGCAGCATGAAGCTTGTAATTCAAACAAATCAAAGTTTTTCAGTGTCGTAAAAATCAAGAGAACTAAGCTAATATGGCTAAGGACCTGTTTTTTCGCTCGTTCACTCGTGAAACGCGCATAACTTTTATGTGAGCAAGAATCTCGTTTATCCCATCGAAATTTTTTGTTCTTTGAGTTAACACTGCAATAAACATCGTGTGGAAAAGTGGAGAATAAAACATTGGCTATCATCAATCCATAAGGTTTGGGTGAAGAGTTCTGCTTCATCAAATTTCGTCGAGGTGATTGAATGCATATCTAGGCCAGAAATGACCTGTAGATGTAAAACCGATGTATAGTGTCAGTGTTACTGTCCCACCAGACAAGTCTAGAATGAATTTTCCAACCTTGTAGAGATGGAAATCTTGGTGAACTCAGGACATAGTCGAACCTGTGGCCGAAACAGTGCTTAATAACTCACTGTACGACTGCACTAGATGCGTTCGAACATCAATGCGAACACAACATATCACATTGACTGCACTATACATAATGTCATTAGCGCTCTTTCTCATCTTTCAAGCTCAGTTATGTTTCGTAGATTTGTGTAGTCCCCTCTTCGTTCTAATGATCATTGTTAAGTACATCAATTATTATTAGTACTTCTCCATTTACAATCTCACTCGCAACGAGCGTATTGGAATTCATATTAGTACTATTCCTGGAATGAAGACATCTTTTTCAGCTTTGAATAGATGCTAATTAGATATCAGAGTTTTACGTCCCGCTTATTGGTTCGATCATGCCCTTCTAAACAGCACTGAAGACGATTCATTTTACCATTTTTATTTAATTTATAACATTTTATCAACCTTAGCTCGTCAGTGAAGAATGCATCGAATGAAGCTCACACATTCTCTTTACTTCAATACTCATGCATTTCGTGCTGTACTTCATGATTTCAACGACTCTTCGTAACTGAGCTTGCTGATCGTTCGTCTTCCAACCTTAAATCACTTCTAGTTCGCATGTCATGCTGCACGCTCCCTTTGCTGATACTTGCAATCTCGCGAACTAGCGTCTCCACTTCGACAACTTGCGAATACAATGCTAACCAGAGAAAAAGTATATTAAAAGTAAGTTTTTAGACTTTCAGAAACACGACGAATTATGTTCTCAATTTTAAGAGCCTCCGTGGTGCAATGTGAAATGCGCGAGTCCCCGGAAAGGGAAATCGCGGTTCGATCTGGCCCGTGGTCCAAGTTTTGCGAATATCTCAGCATCGTTATGTTCTCAATCTTATTCACTAGATCAACTTGTTAAAATTCTAAGTACCTCCCAATTTTTATCAAGAAATTCTTCACATCATCGATATTTGTGTGTGGACGTCCGTATTCCTCTTCAGTTCCATACATTACAATTCACCTATTTTTCGTCCAGTGAAAACAACACCCATATTTCTTTGTGGTTCGGTGTGCTTTCGTGTCCAAAAAGTAGTCTACCTTTATTACACAACCGTAATACCCATGATATATGGCAGCTATTTTTACCAGTTTAAGTAGATTGAGGTGTTTGTGTAAAAATGAAGTTTGCGGTATCTTTCTTGCAATTAACATAAAGGCTTCAGGGGTCTGGCACAGTGATTGGATGCGCCTTGCAACACACACACATAGGACCGATCCCCGTGCCGGTGGCTCACCAAGCTTATCATCCTTCCGGGATCGGAAAATTGGTACCAGACTTGTCTGGGACGAGAACATCACTGGCTCTATACATCGGTGAGCCACCGCGAGTCATTGTAAAGGCCATACATGCATTCAGTCACTTCGAAACGATGCTTAACGAAGTCGAGTGCATGGCGCATCCCTCAGGGATTGCTCAAAGCCAAGAGCTTTTAAACCTTTTAACATAAAAGTTGCATTAGAAACAACTTCATTGTGTCATACGAACATGAATCTATTCCGTTTTCATTATTCCGCAAATTTTCCACATAGGTATTAACTAATATGAAGAGAGTAAAAAAAGAAACTAATTGCAAGGACCTTCTCGAGGATTACGATAAGACATTGGTTCCGTCAAACAATTCTGTGCAAGTTAGCGTGGAGTTAACTGTCCAGGTGATTCTACGACGTATTTCCCTTTTGTTTTTTAAATTTGCATAAATACATTCATCACTGTTTCCGTCGGCAATGTTTTTATTTGAATTCTAATGTCTTACTCTATTTCCACATGCGTTCTCGCACATTGCAGGACATTTCATCCATATCCGAGATTTCCAGTTCCTTCATCGCCGATGTGTGGTTCAGCCAGGTGTGGCAAGACCAACGACTTCAGTATAAGTGTGTTCACTTACCTGTTATTTCTCAACAACAACAGTACTTGAACATATTTAATACCAAATTTCATCCAGCATGAATAGCCGTTGACTTGATTTATTCATAAGTTCACAAGGTGTATTACAATTCTTTATTGTAGCCAGCGTTTTGGCGATGACGACTTGTCTACAACAATTGCTTCTTTTTGTGATGTAGGTCTTCGTCGTCGACCCTTCAAGTGGAATGGGATAAAGTTAAGCGCCACACGACTGATGTAACCTTGCACCTGTCTGTCCTTCTTTCTCGCTTACTTACTTAACACTTGAATGGCCCGTCCTCACTGGTTGTGCGAGCCCCAACATAATCTCATTTTTCGGAGATTTGTTGGTTAAGTCATTGTGGTTTCCTGGAATCTTGAGGTCAGCCTAGCCAAAGTCTGCCCCAGGTCTTCACCACCACAAGTATTCGCAGCCCTTGTGGACCACAGAGAGATTTACCACCATGCGACTTTGATAGCAGGACGGCAATGGATACTGGTATTGGTTTGGTTAGGTTTCCTGATGGAGACGCCGGACTTCTTCTCAGCTTGTAGACACTTCCAGGGAATGATCCCTGCTGTAAATCTCAGCCCAACAGCCAGGAACACCTCCCAGTCACGATGGGGCGGTAAACTGTTGGAGCATCGAAAACCTTGTCCTTGTAGCTATAATAAAAACTCATAACAGTTAAGAGTCATATTAATATTAACTGGGATGTACAAAGACGATGTATTCAATATCGGCTTCTTTTAATCTTGACATTGAAAGTCAATATCTTTCTTTACCGCTTAGTTGATAGCCGATATTGACATTACTGTTCCTCTACGTGCCAGGTGGTGTTATTGTGTTATTTCGATTGCTGCCTTTGGATTGTCACCATAAGTAAAACAGTTTTTGTTGGCATTCAACCAAGAAACGTCTTGTACCTTATGAGCTTGCCTGGTGAGATCAGCTCATTCCAGCACATCTGCAATGCTCTATAAAAATCCAGTGATGCAATGTCATTCGTGCAGCGCGCCACTCTACCCGACTCGACTCAATACGAGGAGTCCGAGGACCTCTATCGTAAGAAGAATCATCTGCTGTACACTCCACTCGCATTATCGTAGCTCTGAAGAAAGTGATACTGCCGAAATGTTAGCCGCAAAGAAATCACTTAACAATGTCGTGTAAACTTTTATTTAGCGTTTTTCTTTTTACGGCTGGATACTATACGACATACAAGCACAAGGTTGCATAGACAAGAACAAAACTCGGAGCCTCAGGTGGTCTTCAAACCCTCAATTACCCTTTCTGAGGCTCCACGTGCTATCTACCACACTAGACGAGGCCCCGTTGCTTTCTATTTCTCTTAATTAGTTTTCCTGCTCTATCAATGCTGTCCCATGGATTTCCCTCACATGAGGGATATCGAGCCGGTTCATCACGAGGCTACGTGGCGAGTCCCCAGGTAGCAGCGGATGGAGAGTTAATCGCGGACTAAAAGCGACTTTTGCTTCTCTGAAACGCAGGTGGATCCAGAGGATGACCCTGTTTCTGCTGCGCCCATTTGGCACATACTTTCTGTATTTGCTTGGCGGGTTCATGCATACGTGTGTGGGTGCGTTTTTGCCTATGTGGATTGTATTCCACGAGTTAATTCGGCCAAAAGCCTGCAATCAAGTGACTGGGAAGTATATGGGAAACGGTTAGGAGTCGCCTCCAACAAATAAGTTCCATGTCCACTTTGGGAGAGCCTGGCAAGCTACCCCTGAGTATACCCCGCACCCAAGTTCAGAGCCCAGCAAGCTATACGTGGGTGTCAAAAGTGCTAAACAGAGTAAGAAGAACGGACCTCATTCTCATGACCCCGAAAAAGCCTCCAATTTCGCAGCCTTGGCTAGGACGAGTCCGGGAAGGCTGCTAAAATCTTACAGCCAGCAGAAGCTGCTTGGATTCTAAAAAACAATGGTGACGATCTGTACCTACAGCGCACGTACACTTGCATCCGAGTCCTCGATAGAAGACTCGCTCATGCAAGCAAAAACGATAAAGTACGACGTCATCGGCCTGGCCAAGATGAGAAGACGCCACCCATCCAACGCCGTCTATGCCACTGGAGAAGAACTGTTACTCGGAATATGCGACAGTAGAGGAGTCGGCGGCGTCACGATCACAACACGATATCGGCAACTATCGCTCAATCTGCTTACTGTCTATCGTCTACAAACTTTTCACTCGAGTCATCCTAAACATGATCGACAGAGCACTGGACGAAGGACAGGCATGTGAGCAAGCAGGGTTTCGAAAAGGATTTAATACGATGGACCACATTCACACGGTAACACGGCTCATTGAAGTATCGCGAGAGTACAAAGGACCGCTCTGTCTCACTTTCATCGGTTTACAGAAGGCTTTTGATTCAATTGAGATAGAAGTAGTCCTGGAAGCCCTTGATAGTCAAGGAGTCCCTACTCAGTATATAAAGATTCTTCGTGACCTGCACAAAAATTTCACAACCAAGGTATGACCATTCCACAACGATATTAACATCCACGACCGACTTTCTATTAACCTCGGCATTGATCAAGTGATTTTGTTCGTATTTTTTGAGCAAACGCGAGGTGTTATTGTTCTTTGTTCACGATTAAGCTGACGTTTCGGCGAATTTCGCCTTCTTCAGAGCCTCTTCCTATGAGGTTTCCACTAAGTATGTCACGTAGAGACCAACCGCACAGAAATCACGTGGAAGTATAATGATATTAACATATTATTAGATATTAGATATTAACATTGACGTCAAAACAGGAGTTATGCAAGGCGATACCATCTCGCCAAAATTATTTACCGAGTGACTGGATTCTTCGGGTTATCAAACGTACTGCAGGAAGACTACCGACCCGATGGTCAGAGTTCTTCACAAAGAGCCTTGAAGAAAGATATTATGCTCGACGAGTCCCTAAAGTGAGCAGAACCCACTGGGCTACTCTTGCACGCGACAGGGAAAAATGGAAGATTTACTGGCCCCCGCTCGAGTCACTCGACGATCAACGGGACTACAGGTGATACATGTGATCGGTGCTGTCAGCAATCACCCGTCATCGGGAATGATTTGTGGAGCAAAAATTAGCGCAAACATAAGCATTTGGATCCAGTTAAGCTGAATCTGCAGTCGAAATCACTCCCATTAATTGGCACTTGCTGATATCATCGATAGAGTGAAGATAAAACTGTCTGAGAGAAAGACAAAACAAAGGCATTGGTTGGCGTGGTTGATAGCAAGCGAGCGTCCAGTAAGGGTAATCGCGGATCCGAAATCCATCTGTTAATCCAAGTTCTGTTCGTATCATATCATATCATATCGGCATCCTTACGGTTGAATCTTATGTAATCATGTCAATAAAAGAAGTCGTTGAACATCTCGATGACCATTTCCGCCAATCGTACTCTCTCTGCCATAATTTCTATAACTCATTTATTTTCCGCTATATATTGAAGTTAAGGCGTGAGATCACGTGCTGGTGCCGTGGGTTCGAAAACCATTGGGCAGATTTTTACATCTTAATATTTCAAAAACCGGCTTTATTTCGACTTCGGCGTGACCAATCAATATGTATTAGTTACATTTCCACTTCCTCGCTTTAAAGAATCTTGAAGATGAATGCGTCGTTTTCATGTTCAGCAATCGCGAGGTTTTCAAACAGCATACATTTGCTTCCATAGAGAAACACAATACAATACAACGCCAGCTGACGTTTCGGCAGTATCGCCTTCTTCAGAGCCTGGAAGGGTATACTGATATACAATCTACTAGGCCAAACGCTTCAATAACACTTACACAAAGACGAAAGACTCTTTGGTAATTACATGATCAACGACTTCTCGAAAAACCCACCGCCTTTTCGTGACTTCCAATGAGGAAGTTTAGAACAGCTGATTATAGTCGCATGTGGTTGATGACTGCACCATTCCACATCAGAAATTGATGCGAACATACGGGGTCAGGGCGCGTATGACCTCTGGCCATTCCTCCCTGCTATTCATTGCGGGGTTTTTGGCATTTATCCAGAAAGCCTCAAAAAGTTTCCGCGCTGGTGTTTTGGACTCCTGTGAAAGGATATTGACTTTTACTTCAAAATCGTCTCCGCTATGCTTTTGTATCCTATGCGTGCCTAGTGGTGTACTTCGTCTTAGTTTTCGTTTGCCATCTAGGTGTTCTTTTATGCGAATCATCCTTATTGCGTACTCATCAAATATATAGTGGAGAAGTAGTAATCAATAAAAACATATGGGAAAATGTATTTATATGTGGAATATCTCCAAGTGATACTTCCTACTTCTTTCATCATTTTGTGCGTTCATATTAAAAACTTGTCTTTCGTTTTCAATATCAAACATGTGAGTTTTTGGAACCGAATTTTATGCTGAACCCATAAGCCTTTGGAGGTGCTGGTTTTTAAGACCAAATTTTTGATATTGCAGGAATATTTCGTGTAAGTCGAATCTCTCGCTGGACAGCTACGTAAGTGAGCGACTTTGGACACCTAACGTTTGCTTAGTCAACAGCAAAAACACACAAGTACATCGGTCTCCGGCCTCGAATATTCTTCTTATCATCTACCCAAATGGTATGCTTTGAAGAAGTAACAAGAACAGCGTTATGCGGTTGATAAGAAAAGTGATAGCGTTCTTTATTCCCAGTGACAAGCACCGTCACTTCCGTCTACTTGAGATAAAATCGGCTTTTTTAAAGATATTTCACTATGAAAGTTGTTCTTAAAATGGAAGCTACCCATTCAACCATCTTCAACGTCTAAAACTTTAGAGTTGAGTTTCGAAAATCGGATTCCACAAAGTCATAGAAGCACTCTTTCTTAGGCTATTTCCGTTATTACGTGTAGAATCACTGAGAAGTTTTAATGCCAAGAAACTAAAGATTTTAATACTGGGGTCAGCTGATGGTTTTTAGTCAAATCGTTGGACAGTTTTGCACCAACTCACTAACCCAGTAGGACTTGAGTTCAGTTAACCTGCCATCGGACTAGCGGTTGTATGAGCCCGAATGGAACATCGTACAGCAAACATTCGATTTCGAAATATTCGTTTTACCTACCATATTCGCGACAGTATGAGTCATTTATAACCATAAATGGACTGTATGAAACACAACCTACCAGATGAGTTATATACGATTCTTTTTATTTTTTATCGTTTGTTTTGCTGCACAATTTGCTCTTGCAATACCTCTCTCACAAAACTTTCACCCTTCATAGGATGTTGTACCCAGCATGGCCCTATAGAAGCTACTTTGTGAAACGGGTTGCGAAACAAGATTGTTGGCCTTTCTCAAGACTCTCCTATCCCGTAACAATTTCATTGCCTACCACACAAAATGAAAAGCACAAATACGGGTGCTGGATAAGAGGGTGCGACATTGCACTAAAATGTCTTTGCTCTAGTTCCCAGGATCGACTTTCTCTTAACCTCGGCATTGGAATATGAATGTGTCGTTTTCTTGTTCAGCAATCGCAAGGTTTTTAAACAGCATACATTTACTTCCATAGAGAAACACAATACAATACAACGCTAGCTGACGTTTCGGCGGTATCGCCTTCTTCAGAGCCTGGAAGGGTATACTGATATACAATCTACTAGGCCAAACGCTTCAATAACACTTACAAAAAGACGAAAGACTCTTTGGTAATTACACGATCAACAACTTCTCGAAAAAAAACCCACCGCTTTTTCGTGACTTCCAATGAGGGAGTTTAGAACAGCTGATTATAGTCGCATGTGGTTGTCCTTGCTCTATTTCGACGTCTGAGTTTAAGCAGATTATGATGTACATTGCGTTTTCGAGAAGTTCTTCTGGCTGTGAATTGAGATATAACAACAGTTCTGACAAATTTGCTTCTACAATTTCAAGGTCTGTCGTAGCGAAGCGCAATTTGCTCAAAACATTAATGAGTCATGGGGCCGCGAAAATATTGACGAATTCAGAGTACAACGTCAGTTTGGAAAACTTGGTCATGGCGAATTAGACGAGATAGTTCACGGACGCCCTTCTTCAATCGACGACGGTTTGTTGAAGGCATTGTTCGAAGGATCACACAACACATCAACTACTTTTCGAGAACATCCATAGGAATTAAATGCAGACACCTAAACGTTTCAACCCTACATTTGAAAAAAACTGAGAACACGAAAAAAACCCTCCAAAAGGATCCTGTGTGAATTTAATAAAAAATTTTAAAAAATCGCCATTTCGAAGTATTGTGGGTGCTCCCGAGAAGACACACTGAGACTCTTCTCGATCGTCCACCATCGGCCCAGTGGTTGGACAAAGATGAAGTTCTGCCTCAGTTCCCGGAGTCTTAATTGCACTGAGAAGGTCGTACTGACTTTTACTGGTACCGTTTGGTTTAACTTATCAGCACTTCCTGGATCAATTTAAAGCGATTGCGTCGTAAACTACGTCTAGTTGATCGACGAAATCCGCCACGAACTCCAACGTCTGAACTCGGCAATGGTCAGGAGAAAGGGGTCAACGCGACTACACGTTGAGCAACCGATGCGCCAAACCTTGAACGACCTGTACTATGGAATTCTGCCTCAACCACCATATTCGCCCTTACGGATTATGAATTATATTATTACTCTGCTGAGCAGTGTTCTGTCTTTGGCTTCTAGCGGACGATGTTTAATAATTTTTGTTACTCCTTAAAAAGGGTTTCCTGTTTTTTTTTTCTTAAACATGCCGTTCAGATTGGTTTTTTCCTGGACAAAGTTCTTACCTCGCATAGCATTTATACATAAATTGTAGAACAGATGCTTTCTTCCACAGCAAGACGGCTATGTGCTCTATCGCGACGTATTCAGCACTTTCAGTTCTTAGAGGATCTTTATCCAGATAGACCATATTTCATTGCATGTACTTACTTTTACCGCAGAGTTCGATCACCCTATTCCATATTTACGGGTGTGATGTACTGGCAGAACGCGACTCACCTTCTAAATGGCACTTTCCTACCAAGGCTGTGTATTCTCCGTTTTTCGACCAGTTTGATAAATGGAAAAAATTCTGCACGAATTTCAGTGGCCCTCATGAGTTACACAGTTCCCAAGTGAAAGTTAGCCAACAGCTTTTTATACTTGCCTCTTCTATCTACTTTGAATGGAGCTAAGGAACGAAGCTAAGAGATAGAACAAGAGACGTAATAATACTTAAAGTGCGTAGGTCTTACAAATCCTATTTCATAACAGAGGTTGACGAGTCCTGATAATCAAAGTAAACATGAATTAGGCGTATCCCTTTCTCGATGATCCTCTGCGAAGATTATAATTTTCAAAAAAAATTTAAGAAGCAATCATTTTCCCGCGACTGATGAAATCCAATTCACTCTCTTATTCTTTGCTAACCATGGGAAAATCCACCTGAAAATGGAAGTTGGAAGAAAGTCGACAATGTCTTATGAAAATTTCCTTCTCTAAAGGTTAACCTTTGGGTTGAATTTGACCTTTTGTCCAAGAAATGGTTTTCGATAAATGACGGCCGTTCCTCCACCAGAGTACAACAGGAGTTCAGAATGTTGTAAAGGAGACTCTGTTCTATTGAATTAAGCGCGTTAACAATTCTTATACAAAACCCAGGATCGACTTTCTCTTAACCTCGGCATTTAATATGAATGTGTCGTTTTCTTGTTCAGCAATCGCGAGGTTTTTAAACAGCATACATTTGCTTCCATAGAGAAACACAATACAATACAACGCTAGCTGACGTCTCGGCAGTATCGCCTTCTTCAGAGCCGCTTTTTACGTGACTTCCAATGAGGAAGTTTAGAACAGCTGATTACGAAGCGGCTCTGAAGAAGGCGATACTGCCAAAACGTCAGCTAGCGTTGTATTGTATTGTGCTTTTTATGGAACTAAATGTATGCTGTTTGAAAACCTCGCGACTGCTGAACAAGAAAACGACACATTCTTATACAGAACGTTTTAAAATTCATATATGCTTGAAATTAAGAATTTCAATGAATTGATTAGAAACATAACTTTTTAAAACATCAAAGGAGTTGGGCTCCAGTTGGAACACTAAATGCACTTTACAAAAATGGATAAAGCTCTCGGTGTTGATTTACCCTCAGGGGTGATCCATGCATTCGACTTCATTGAGCATCACTGGAATTGACTGAATGCATGTTTGGCTTTTGCAACGACTCGCGGTGACCTACCGATGTATCGAGCCAATGATGCTATTCAACCAGAGAAGTCTGATACCAATTTGCCAACCCCGGAGAGTTGGAAGGCTTGGTGGGTCATGGGCGCGGGAACCTATCCCATGTGTACTGCAGGGCGCCTTCGACCACTGGGCTGCACGGTTACTGCACTTTAGCGAGCACAGTGTTGTCCTAGTGGATGAATCTCCACTTGTTCATTTACTTTCCTACTAGAACTATGAGCCTTATAGCAAAAAAGTGGAAAAAATATTTTCTAGGGCTTTAGAGAGTCACAGTTTTATGATGGCGAAACCAGAGAATTTTTATACCGAAGCAAAAGATTTGTAGGTACAAAGTGTTTTGTTGCAACCAATTAAATTCATACTGAACTGAAATGTTTTGACTTGAAGTGAAGTTTTCCATAATTTTCGCTTCGTATTTCACTTGTAGAGGTCACTTGGTCGCGTGTTTGTCAAGAAGTCGTAATATTTCAATACAAATAATTAGATACTATTATAATGCTGAGATATTTGCAAAACTTCGGACCGCAGGTGCTTGCGGTGCGTAACGAACACGCTATTGTCCTTTCTGGGGAGTAATGCGTTCACCACCACACCATGCGGGTCCTTCGTTTCGCCTGTCTCTCAGCTAGTTCTATCGATCTTTTCCCATCAGCAATCAACCGTCAACGAGATTGATCTGGGGAGCCCAAACGGCATTGAACCCAGTTAAGCTGAGGCTTTCGTTATAATCACAATCTTAACGATTTTATTTACTGTCTATTCTTCTTAATGGCAGGGTATGCCAAATAAACCTGCCGTTAAAAAGAATAGGCAGTAAATAAAATGGTTAAGATTATAAATAATTAGACAATTACTATAAAACAGCATTCATTTCCCGTGATAGTTCACAGCATGATGCCACTACAAGGACCAGTCAGTAATTCTCACATCGTTTCTAACTGACAGCACAGCTTCCTTTCTGCGAGCTACAATCACTTCTGTTCACCTTGTAAGTGGGCGCCTTATAGGGTGTCCGCCTCCTTTTGAGGTCTGCTCTACCGTTTTCATTAAGCCCTCCTCAACACTTCTCATTGCATGGTCAGCCCTTCTGTGTACGTTTGTGATATATGTCCCTCTGCATGTCGAAGGTGGAAGCTCAACACACACTACCCTTCAGTGCCATTTCTCCTTAATGTCTTTTTACGTTTATTCGCGTCCATTGGACGTCTTGGGAATACAAATGATATACACAAATGATGTAGTCTCCGATTCGCATCATGTATTTTTATCAAATGGGATTTCTATTGAATTATCCGCTGTCTTATCCTTTTTTCTCGTTTGGCACTTTCAGCTTCATCAGTGCTTCACGTGCATGACTCAATTAAGGATAACGAAGTCGTCAGCCATATGAAGCGTTTATAGGGTTTCACCATACGCGAATGCTACTTTTCGTCCCAGCCATATGAAGGAAACGGTCGCGCTCGGTATTCTGGGCAGAGTGCCATGACCATAGACACGGTTTAGACGTGATCTATACAATAGAGAGTTCTACAGATTCTCGTGTGTGATTAACTGGTTGCTCAAAGCTCATACTTTGCGGATACTTCATTCTTCAAAAGGAGTTTTCAGAGTATACTCAACTATCATATCCGCCTGTGATTGCAATGATTACCTCAATCGCTATCCCTGAACTGTTCTAACGTGGGTGAGGTCCACCAGTGGAAAACGATCATTTCATTTTGTGCATAGGCTTTCCGATTCAATTCAATAATGGAGTGTAATTCGTGGTTTCTCACTCGACTGAATTCTACCACGTTGTCTTGCTGTAGTACTGTATTATCTTGTTATGGATCGTAAGTCGATCCAGAGGAAGAAATGCGGTTAGTTTTCTCTGGTCAGTTTAAAGCATGTTATGGATACTATAAAACAAATAATAGCGAACTGGCCTAACAAAGGATAAAGAATAAAGCTCTTGGCGCTCATCAATACCTGAAGGATGCGGCATGTATTCGACACCATCGTTAGAGGTGACTGAATGCATATCCGGCCTATACAATGACTCGCCTTGGTCTACCGGTGTATTGGGCCAGTGATTTCATCCACCACAATAGGTCTAGTACCAATTTTCCGACTCCGGAGAGATAGAAGGCTTACTGAGCCTAGTGCGCGGGATCGAACCTGTGTGTATTGCAGGGCATCTCTAATCAATGCGGTAGACGCGCGCTATGGAAGTAGTTATTCATTATAAATTTATTATCATACATTGACGTGGTGGGCGTGTCGCCTGCTTGCTCAATAGGTCATTCTAGGATACATTCTTTCCCTATCTGACAAAATAGTGGGTTATAGCGAGTATTAAAGTTGAACCAGCCACGGTTTGTTATTTTCTCGATACACCTCCGCCACTGCGACACAAACGTGGAATCGATCGGCGCGACCATGGCACCAAGCCTTCCATCCCTCCGGTATCGATAACTTGGTACCAGACTTGTCTGGGAGCGTTGCAGCACCGGCTCGATACATCAGTATACCACGGCGAGTCGTTGTAAAGGCCAGATATGTATCCAATCATCTCCAGCGATACTTAATGAAGTCGAATGCATGACGCATCCCTCAGGGATTGATCAACGTAGGGAGCTTTTAGAGAGCTTTCGCTGCATCCAATTCACCATTGACGCTAATAATGTCCGTATTCATGTCAATAACGAAAGGATATGTTATCATTTCCACTTCCAACGATGCAAATCAAGTGATTTCCGATGATACTAGACGCTTTCACCTACTTTACCACCCCTCATTTCCTCGACCCTTCAGAAGCACTGGTATTGTACTGCCTCTTAGTACCAATTGACCGCTGATCTTTCAACTACATGAACTCGTACTTCTTCGCTTGCCTTCAGGTCGGGAGTTCCTTGGTTAATCACCACGACTTCAAATCGATACATTGAAGATGCATGTTTAGTTTGAACAGAAGTGGAAACGTTGCACTTTATGGTTTCATTTCATAAATACGAGCGAGTTCTAGCGAATGTGATGAGATGCTGTTTTCCGCTTTCGAGAATAGTGTTGAAGTGACACTACTTCGCCCTGTTGATACTGATGAGGTTGTAACAAATGACGGCAAAAAAATTTTGAACGTCTCAGTCTCTGATGGACTGTTCACCGCCTTCGACCAACTAACGATTTCCATAGCAGTTTCTGAACAAAAGCAGCCTCCGTCTCGATTTGAGCAGAGCCAATTTTTTTATGTAGTTGCAGTACGAGAAAACAGTGTTCTGATTAACAGAATTTACATTCCTATTGTAGAAACTCGTGACGGTCTACCTCCTCTCCACTATACCATCGACAGTGGAAAGTCGAATGCGACCTCTTCGTTCCCAAAATGTTTTACATCGAGCAGCCCCCCAGTCCATGTTGAGCGGACGGAGACTTAACACTTAGTACTCAGAATGGACTAGTAGGGCGGTAATCTCTGGCATTTTTTTAAAACACTTAGCACTCAGGATGGGCTAGTAGAACAGTAATCTGTGGCATTTTCTTTTAACTTGATCTCCGAATTATTGTGTCAAATCCATTTTCAGTTAAGATGAGGCTTCATATGAACTCCGACTGCACATCGCAGTTCCTCACATTGAAGTGCTCCTACCTTAATCACAGTTCGAAGCTAGCTACGTGCTAGACACTAGACAGATACAGTTGATACTCATAATTAAAAAAAACTTGATAACGATGAACCTTCCATTTTTGTGAGTTCAACAAATCGCAACACATCTTCAAAACAGAATTCATTTTGCGGACTGTGGTAAGAGTAGAGATAAACTGGTTAGGAAACAACTCTTTTGTTACGAACTTATGCGGATACCACCGATTTTCACATGTTTCCCCTACGAGCCCTTATCATTTCAGGTACAGTATGGCTTAATTATCGAGTTCAAGTCTCGGCGCCGTGCAGTTTCGAATTGTCACGATTTCCCATTGACGCACAGGAATGCACACTGGTGTTCGAGTCGTATTCCTATAATATAGCAGAGGTGCTCTTCTATATCTTTTCTTTTAATATTATTAATTAGCTTTTTAAACAGTTTATTTGTAAGAAAAACAAAGCAATTTTCGAACGCTGATTTAATCAATTATAAAAACATTTAACCAGTATTTTGTTTTAGTTTATGCTTTGCAGCCATGGCTTAATATAGATTTCCAATAAGGTAAAAATAGCTAGGCTGATGTACTCTATCCACTAGCGCTCACAATAAGGAAAAAAAGAAGACTTGTAATAAAAAGAATCGTTTAAACAAGACGATTTATTACATGACGTCCTATTGTCTTCTGCTAGTTTTTCGAAAACTGACGATGATGTCTCGATCACTGGCATATTTTAGAGGATCAGAACTTTTTGGAGATTTTCATCTATCACGTCAATTGTATTTATGGATTTTTTACAGTGCCCTTCAAAATCTAAGCATGTTCAAAGCGGAAACATTCAAAAAAGGTGAAGAAGATATTTTAAAAAAAGCTCTCGGCGTCGACCAATCCTTGAGGAATGCACCATGCATTCAACTTCAGTAAGCATTCATACTTCGATTTGCTCGACGGCGATCTGCTTTCGTCGTAAATCAAAGGATATCAAAGTAAAAAAAATGACAGCCGGCAGAAAGACCAGCACAACAACCTGTCAAATGGCTAACGCGTTAACTGGATGAAAACCACACAGATCGTCTTGTTAAGCCAGTTTTGTGCCATCAAAAACCATTCATGTCTTAATCGCATTGTGAACTGAACGCCAATAACTGATGGAGTCCTGAGTAAGGATGGACAAAGAGCGCTCCAGCACTTTTCTGTGCCAAATTTGCGTCAGCAGAACGTTATCATGACGTGTTTATGTTCAAAAGGTGGATTCATTAACTCGAACTAAATTTCTCACATTCTACACTGACAATGTGCTGATATTTTGGAACCACGAAACGTTTTTTCTTCCGGGTTTCTTTTTCGTGTCGAAGCTCATATTACAACTACAAAAAAATGAGCAAGCGGAATCTCGGCCATTAGGAACAGTGACATTCTCAAATGTCCACTTTGTGTTTTTTCGTTCCAAGCCTGCTTGCATGATAAAAGCTAAAGCTCTCGGCGTTGATCAATTCCTGAGGGATGCGCCATGCATTCGACATCATTAAGTATCTATCGATAGAGGTGATTGAATACATATCTGGCCTTTAGAATGACTCGCAGGGGACTGCCGATCTATCGAGCCAGTGCTGCTATCCTCCCAGACAAGTCTGATGCCAATTTGCCCCCATACTCCGGAGGAATGGAACGTTTGGTGAGTCACGGGCATGGGAATCTTTCCCATGTGAGTGTTGTAGAGCGCCTCCAACCACCGTGCCACAGGCGCCCAGAAGAAATTTAAGCGTTTACAATTTCTAGCACAAGAATGGCAGCTGGAAGGAAAAACGATGTGTTGGGAAATACTATCTTGTCCTTCACCGTAGTTTCAAGACTGCATTCTATTTGTCGGGTGCGCATGGCGCTGTGATCGGAGGCGCTCTGCAATGCACATGGGATCGATTCCCACGCCCCTGGTCCAACAAGCTTTCCATCTCTTCGCGTTCCATAAATTGGTGCCAGACTTGTCTGGAACGATGGCAGTACTGGCTCGACACATCGGTAGGCCACCGAAAGTCATTGTAAAAGTCAGATATGCATTCAATCACGTCGAAGCGATGCTTGGTGAAATCGAATGCATGACGCATCCCTAAGGGATTGATAAAATAAACGCCTAGAGCTTTTTAACTTTTATTCCACTTGCTTCCTAAGCCTTGGTGCAAAACAATTGAAAGAAATATGTGTCCTTGGCTCCAGTAAATCAGAATTTCACCTTGATGAGTTTTAAATAACATTTATGTTGTAATGAAAAATGTGTAAATCCTAACGATTTCTATTCCTACTGATAAAGTCTATTAATAGTTGAGGTTCAGTTGTTCAAAGAACCTCTATTATCGTCGTTTCAAATGCTTTTGCTCAAGGCGTATTGGACTAAATGTCAGACAAATCATGTCATATCCCATGTTTCCTGCAAGATTGGCCCCAGACCCTATGATAATAATGATTTACACGTTTCTGTTTCCATCGATCATCGAAATATGAGAACATTTCATGAATAAGTGGCTTGTACGTATACCTTTCCCTTTTTCATTAATTCTGCCTCTTTTCCCAACAACAACATTTGTCAGGTGCGGCTGAATTGGCAAGAATGGGCTCCTGTAACAATGCCGGCGCCCAACGATTTCCGTCTTCCCGATTTTCAATTCTATAATGTCACGTGGAGAAAGGTTGTCAACGAGTACACGGCTGGGATGTGGGACCAGCTAAAAGTGACATTCAGGTAGTCCTTAATTTGATTTTTTACAAATGATTTCAATAATCAACTCTCTAGAGTTTCTTTGCTCCTTGTTCATAACTGATGTCCCTATCATTTATATTGGGTGTTTTAGCTATTTATTTTTTTATTCACTAGTAATCAATGTCTCATAATGCGCAATGATTAGAGGTGCCTGTAATGCATGCGTGGTCGATGGTTCGATCTCGCGCCACGCGCTCATCAAGCCTTCCATCTCTCCAGAGTCGGAAAAGTGGTATCAGACTTGTTTGGGATGACAAGAACACTGATTTGCTACACTAGTAGGCTGCTTGCTAAGCGTCATTGAATGACCCAAATATCCGTTCATTCACCTATAGTGATGTTTGATGAAGCCAAATGGATGGCGGGTCGATATAAATCAGGGCCTAGTCAACGTCGCAAGCTTTGTCCTGTGCCGTTTATTGCTATTGGTTGAATGCGAAACCTTGTACACTTTACGAAGTGTTGTCATGTCTAATAGCATTTTTTCTTATCGAGGAAAAGCAGCAAAATACGACCAATAAATAATCACTAGTGACCATTTATGCATTTTTTTGCATCGTTCGAATAGCACATTGCACCTGCAAGATTTGCTGATGCCAGATGCGTCGTTAAAGAGTTGGATATTTTTGGAAAGTGAGACAACCTCGTTCGTGAAGAATTAACGGAAAGCGAAATTTAAAAAATTTCGAGAAACGAAAATTATTGTAATGAACTTTCAACGAATTATGGATTCGGCTTGTTACAACGTCCTCAAGCGGAAGCTCAACCAGTTGCTGGCCTTACGGTCATCAAGTGCAGTCCAATTAAAAGAACGTCAAACTTCCTTCCAATCACAAGAGCTGCTTATTGTTTGGATTTAAGACCTTGGATTCCATTCCAACACGGAGTTCCACTAGTGCTTTACAAGAATTCAACATTCCACTGTGGGTGAAAATGATTTGAAATCCTCAACTCATTGTCAAACTTGCAATGCAGTTCAAGCATATTTATAATTGACAGTTTCAAGGCAACGAAACAACTAGAGAAAGTGCCGAGACAAGGCTAACAAATTTCTATTATTTTAACCTATTTAGGTACTTTCCTCCTAACAGTTTACCGCCTCATCGTGGCTGGGAGGTGTTCTTGGGTGCCGGACTGCGATGTTCAGCGGGGTGATTCGTCACCCCGGCAGGGTCTCCCATGCTGAGAAGGAGTCCGGCGTTTCCATCAGGTGGCCTAGCTTAAGAGTGAACCAATGCTAGGATCCACCACCCTCCTGGTATCAAACTAGTCGCATGGTGGGAAATCTCCCTCTGATTCACAACGGCGGCGACTGCCTGTGACGGTGACGAACTGGGGTAGACTTTGGCCTGGCTCACCTCGAGACTACAGGGAACCATAATGGTTTAACTAGGAAATCTCCGAAAAATTGAGATTATGCTGGGGCCCGCTCAACCAGTGAGGACGGTCAAGTATCTTGGGTGCTTTAGCGATGTGTCTTCATAAACAGTGCGGAGTCTGTGACATTTTCCACTCGTTTCCTCGTCTTGCGATCGTGGCCCATAGTGTTGGTTTGGTTCGAGCATGGTAGCATGTGTGATTGTCATACAGTAATCTGTAAAATACTAGCAGTTGTGACATCACACTGACTAATTTTATTTGCGGATAAGTACACTTGACGTGTTAGTGGTCCTTGCAGATTACGTTCGCATCCTTACAGTGTCCAATCTACAGTTCCTTTCGTTTATATGTCGTCTGGCCTTTTATTATATGATCAGGGCATCTATATTTCACTACTGATTTGTGTTCTCAAGGATCTCGAGTTTGAAATAGGTTTCGAAGATAAGACCTTCCCATTCGGACTAAGTTAGTTATATTTCAGGAGATGTCGTTCAAGCGCTTTGTGAGTACTGCGCGGTATTCTTGACGTGGTTGAAGTATCAGCCCACGTCTCTGCGGCATAACAGAGCGCTAAGAGCAGTATTGAGTCGTAAGCGTGAGTGCGGATTTTGGGCTCTTTAATTGGTCACCGCCTTCTTTAGGAAACCCGTATGCAGATCATACTGCCCCCTTTTTTTAAATTTTCCGTGTTGTTGTCCATCTTCACTGAATGCCAACGATGCTCGTGCGAAGATGGTCACTGCAATCAGAGAGCCATCCAATTCAATTCGTTCACCTTCGCACCATGGATTTTTCATGAACTGGACCCTCTTCTGATTTATACGTAGCCTGAACTTTTTTCCGCTTTGTTAAACTCATTGATAATTGTCTCAGCTTCACTGGTTCTTGAAAAGATGACATTGTTGTCAGCAAGACAAAGATTTCATAGAAATTTACATCATTATTTATGCCCTTCTCATCCGAATCGAGTGACTTCGTTATCCTCTTAAGTGTGTCCCTAAACATCTTTGACGATACGGTGTGGTTTGGTCGCATTTTTCTTCTATGGGTATGATAAGAGGTCAATGGAAAAACTGCATTCTCGTTGTGTAGTCGCTATTGCGAGTCAAGTAGAGTTCTTATGTAGGACGGGTCCACTCTTTCGACACTATTACACGCTTTTTCACACTAGGTTAAAGTTAAAACTAGAGAAAGGTAATATTTCCGATACACTTCAATGATCCTCCACAAGGTTTAGCTGTGGCCCATGCAGTAAAACTTTTGTCGAAATCTTGGTTTTTTAACTGTTTGCACCTCATCCAATTCCCTTGATATGTGTGACAGAACAACTTCGTAAAATTACCGTCCGTGACGACCTTCGCTGGTCTGAAATGTTTTCCTTCTGAAAGCATATATGTTGCAAGGATTATATGTAAACGGTGAAATCCAGCTCTAAGAAAGTTGATGGTGATACCACAGGGTTTTGCAGCTGCGCTTTTTTTCCATACTTTCTGCCACAACTCGAATCGCAGAGCGAAGATTTCTAGGTGACGTTTCACCAGTGGAGCTTTTAAGGTCAGGGATAGTGATCGTGAAACGGAAGAGGTTGGTGTAGAACTTTTCCGTCATTAATTTCGTATCTTGGTGCTACATTCTAGTGGTTCCATTATCATTCATCAAGAATGACTGCGGAACATTATAATCGCGCAAGTGCCGACGGCATTTTTTCAGAGTGGTTCTTTTTTGTACTGGTTTCCTATTCTGGCGTTGGAATGTTGGACAGCAAATTAATGGTATGCTTTACCATTTCCGACAGCTTCCTCCAACTGATAAAAGAACGCATCAAATTTGCACTCACCAGCTGCATCGGTCCAAGAATAGCCAATCATGACAGTGGTCCTCTTATTACACGTTGGCTGAAGACGGAGGACATCTATGGGAGCGGAAGGACTTCGTGAGAGTGGACAAGATCTACGAAGGACTAGTTGACGACGTAGTCTACGCCACCGACATTTTGTGACGGGACCTTTTCTTCACAAATTGAAGGTCCCATTGTTTAGCTGTCGTATGTCATTCTTCTTACTTTTTGATCCTTGTAATTTGGTCAAATGGAATTCGATACAATCTGCGACTTCAAGAAGAGTGTGAAGAAGATCGGCGTCTGTTAAGAGTGTTCTGGCATTAAGCATGCAGTATAAGAAATAACCCCCATGGCGTTTTATGAGTGTGTTCAATAGATCCGATTCCAGAGACGTCTCGCGCAACGCGAGATTTCGTAGCCTGTCACCGGTCGTTTCAGCACCTGTCGGCCGCATCCAGTGTGAGGGATACTGAGCGCAGCTCATTTCTGCTCAGTCACATTGTTCTTTCCTGTTTTTCTGAATTAACCTTGACAGGGCGTTTCAACTCGTCACTACTATATGGATCTGAAGGAAGTTTTGTTTCGGCATCGATCTTTCGAACAGTCGTCCAGCTAATTGATTCGGACACGATATTAACCGAAATCAAATACGAAAGTAGGAACGAAAATATGACCGACTACACATGTATGATGTAGATGCCGAGCTCTTTAGTATTTTTATATTAAACCTTATTTGAATTGATGATGTGGTCCTTAAGTATTAAAATAAACTGCAGCAGACCTACTGAGACACTTGAATGGTCTGCCCTCACTAGTAGAGGGGAGGGGGAGGAGGGAATGGGGGTGTTAGATTAGAACACATTATTCGATTGAGTCTTTTTCGTGCAATCGTTGTCCGTGATAGTGATGTGCTTCAAATGAAAAGTTCAGGATTGCGTCCCGTGATCCACTAATTACCTCTGTCTGCGAAGTCACATGGTTGACATGAACCACAAACACATTAGCTAGCTCATTGTGTAAGCGGTGGTCCAAGAAGAAGCTTGCATTCTCTTGAGGCCACTTCTACCTACGTTATGTGTAGTAATTTAAATTTTTTAAAACATCCATTAAGCTTTCTATGATTGATTATCTCAGCTGATTCACAGAGTTTTTTGCGTTGTTAAAGTATCAATCAAAATCCTTGGTGCGTTACCGAGCCCTGAGGTTACCGTTGAAAAGATGGTTTGCTGTTGATACGCTACACTTGATGGGTTTTCATCTGTTGTTTCAATGCCCAGCGTTGTAGACTGGAACGCCCAATGTGCCAAATTTCTAGGATAGTTTGTTGTTGGTTGAGCAATTTGTGGTCTCCTGGGGTAGTTTTGCCGGAGTTTTCCTCATCTTCCCACCAGAGGCATTTGCCATCTTTTTTGCATCGGACTGGAGTTTGCCACTTTGCAACCAGCTTTATACAGGGGATACTGTGATTTCCTGTGCACTGGCTTATTCCTAGTTGCGCTTCCAGATGGAAATGTCGGAGTAGTTCCACCAAACTCTGGGAGATGGAGGACACATTACGGCACATCGCAGTTCAAGATCCAGAAACACCCATTTTTATAAGTGCTCTGACCAATACAGTCATAACAAATACAAAGATCTCAAGCGTAGTTGAGCACCAATAGCAATGGTCACTTTCTAAGACTTCATAGCAATAAAGCCAAATTTCAGTCCCAAGATTCTTGCTCGCATTTTAGATTCAAACGTCTCTACGGTTATTACGTTCTTCAAATGTACTTGCCGACATATTTGTCGGTTTTCATTTCTTGGATCGCTTTCTGGATTGATACGCGTGCGTTGCCAGCTCGGATCACTCTTGGAGTGTCCTCCCTAATGGCTCTCACATTCCAGTTCGGTAACGTCGTTAAGAACCTGCCTCGTGTTTCTTTCGTCAAGGTAAAACTTTGCAATGTATTTTAGAAATATTGCTCACAGTAAGTTTATTTAATGTGCACAAATTTGTGCAGATGAGATTTAAGCGACTAATAGTCTACAGTCATTCTAGAAAAGAACAGAACATTTGTGCGCATCGTTTGGTATACCTCTGCCAGTACTAGCAAAAGCCTATTGTTTTAATAACTCGAAAGACCGACTTTCTATAAACCTCGGTATAGATAGTTGATATATTTATTTATATGATCTTATAAACTGATCTTCTTAAGCTGACGCGAGGTTGGTACCGATCTTCGTTGTCGTTGTCGTTGTTTTTGATGTTATTCATCGATGGGTGGCGTTCCGGCGACTTCGCCTTCCTCAGGGCCAGGACGTACTTTATGTTAGAATAATTTTTTTATTATTCAGTGGAAAAGAAGGTTAAAGTATTAATGAAGATCATACTTTCAAATAGACGCCATACTGAACAGAAAGGCTATTTGGTAGCTCTTGTTTAAAGAAAGTTTATATAGCGATATTGACCCTACATTTCGGTTATTTTCGGACGAAATTCTCCGCATACTTAATCGCTACGAAAAACGAAAAAGAAGCTCGAACCTCACAAACCAACAAAAATGTGGTATGCGCCAGGTTAGAGAGCTTTTGAATTCAAAATCTATTAGACTTTCTTTTAGTGATAAAGGCGGAGAATTTGTAGTTCTTCCTAGTCAGTTGGATATTAAGTTAACAGAGAAGCACCTCAGTGATGTTTCTCTCTATCGAACATCCTCTGAAAAGGAATATAGAAATCAATACCGAAAATTGAATCAAGAATGGGTCAGCACGGCAAAGGCCGCGGGTTTAGAGCCTTCAGTTATTTCTCGACTTAAAAACAAACATCCAATTTGCTCTGTCCTTTACTTGCTTATTAAAGCACATAAGCCTACTTTAACTGATGATATTACGTCAACGATCCCATCGTCATTTGAAGTTAGACCTATCATCAGTTGTATAGGCGAGCCAACGGATAGAATAACGTGGTTCCTAAACCTTATCCTGACCCATTTGCTAAAATTCATCCCAACCCATCTACCTAGCACCAAAATATTTCTAGATCACCTAAGGCGCGCAACCAAACAGCACGCATGTAATGGGGTCATTCAATGTTACTTCACTTTATACCAACGTGTCGAATGACTCCGCAATGAAAGCCATTCTCGAGTTGCTTGTAGAGCATTAAAAGAAAATAAAAATGGACGGCTTGTCGATTGCGAAACTAATGACTCTCTTAAAACAGTGTCTTAGTTGTTCAATCCTTAGGTGGTCTAGAAAATATTTTACACAAATTAGAAGGTTGGCCATGGATCAGCTTTTAGCACCAAGCCTTGTCATTGCTTTCATGTCTAAGCTGGAAGCTCCAGTTCTCGATCACCGACCCTTACTCTACTGTCGATACATAGACGACTGCTTCATCGTCTGTTCCGCACAAGAACAGATGGATGAGTGCTTTGAATTGTTAAACCGACAGTCAGAGTATATAAAATTCAAACGCGAAAAACCAACCGAAAACTGGCTTCCATTCTTAAACATCCAAATAAAGCTCTCAGTAAATGGTTATATAACAGAATGGTATCGAAAGCCAAGTAGTAAAGACATTCTAGTTCACTGCCTCTCCTCTCATCCTTCACACATAAAAAAGCACTTATCAAAAATATGTATCGTACGGCTAAAAATGTGTGTACAGAAAAAGAGGAAAGGAAGGAATCGCGAAGCCTGGCCCGGAAAATTTCCATTTCCAATGGCTACGAAGTAGAAGCCACTCGGGTTAAACAAAAACGTAGGGCAGTTCTCCAAAATAATGTTTCCGACGTAAGTAAGATCCTTTTTAAGCTACACTTCATATCAAATGAAGTAAGTCGCGCAATTAAAAAGTGCTTGAGAAAAAGTGGTCTTGAAAATTATGTAACGATTATTGACATCTCACCCAATACCCTACGCCGTCAGTTAGTTCGAAACCGTCTCTATGATCGTTTGTGCAGCTCAGAAAACTGCATGATCCGTCTTGACGGAAGAGACGGAGATTGCATGAGTTCAGGTACAATATACTTGATCTAATGTAATGCACGCGGCGAGGAATATATTGGGAAAACGGGTAGACCACTTTGTGTCCGCGTAAAAGAACATCTAGATCGAAAAGCTAAAATCCATCTAAGCACTCCTCTACGTACGCATAGGGCACAAAAGCACAACGGCGATGATTTTGAAGTGACTGTGCGGATCCTAGTGCAGGAATCGAAAACATCAGCGCGCTGAGGCGTTTTGGATAAATTTCAAAAATTCAAAAGTGAACCGGAAGGACGAATGCCTCGCTATCACGCGTGACCTGGCGCCCTATTTCGAAATGATATTTTGACCCCCGGGGCGTGTCTTGCTCGCGACTCCACGTGAACTACGTGTGGGCCAGTCCATCACGTAACATCACGGTGTGTGGCCTTTCTGTTCAATATGGCGTCTATTCTAACATAAAGTACGTCCAGGCTCTATGGAAGGCGAAGTCGCCGAAACGTCAGCCATCGATCAATAACATCAAAAACAACGAGAACGATAGCGAAGATCTGTACCAACCTCGCGTCAGCTTAAGAAGATCAGTTTATAAGATAACATAAGTAAATATATCACTTATTGTTTTAGTAAAATAAAAGTGTTTTTTAGTGTTTTTTAAAGAACAACAAAGACAACGGCGTTCAAAAAGTCTTAGGATCAATGTGTAACATTTTTAGGCTATCGATTTGTGGTTCTTCGTATGCGTGGCCTTTATCTTTTTCTCCTTAGTAGAGTTAGCTGTGGTAGGATTCGTTGACAAAATCTCCGAAATCAAGAAGCGATCAAAGAGATTACGATGTCGCCACAAGGCCAAAAGCTTTTCGTGGAAGTAAGACATCAATTTTAATGTCATCGTCTTACACATTGCATGTAGTTCGAACGTCTATTAGGGAACATTCTTAAACTCCGCTCAGAAGGAAAAAAGTACTCATTTGGCGCTGTGTATTTATCACGGAGATTTGACAACTTTTCTGCAAAGAAGTTCTCTAAATTCGAAACGAATTTCAGACAGAAATCGCCTCCAGAAACGATGAGAGGGATACGATATCCGGTTAATAACAATGGTGATGAAGCATGGTATCACATGAAGTGAGTTTTCAAAAAGGGCGCTACTCCTACATCTCATTTTCCATTGGAATTGTATAGTGAAAATTCAAATGGGTATTCTACCGGTGGCTCAAACTACAACCTTGGCTACCGCAGAACGTATGCTGACGCCGATTTGGGTGCCAAAGTGGACGCCATCGCAGCGAAGGCATTTCCTGCTGTGTTCGCTGCCTTCAATGGTAAGCTGGCACCAATTTTTTAAATTCGTTTTATGAATTGCTTCACATAAGAACAAAGTGTATTTAGAAGGAATTCGAGAGTTTCCTGTCTTTGCTCTAAGATTGCTAGTAGTCTTCCTAGGTTATCCTTTAGTAGAATACCTTTTTCAGAACATAAATTTATAGAAGGATTAGGGCGACAAATATTGATGCAATAGCCATTTGGAACTGTTGCGCTTATTAATGAATGGTTCCATGAATCAGCAGACAAAAATATTGCCGGGTAAACTAACATTTACTGCTTGAATCGGCTATTTGTGGTATGTGCTTCGCCGGTACATCTCAATCATTCATCCCTATCTCCTACTTTTTGTTCCGACGTTCCGAACCACGGTCTAGCACCAGATTTCCATCTATTCGGGAAAGGAAAATTGGTACGAGACTTTTGTGGAATGAGGAAGATACTTACTTGATATATTGACAGGTCCAGCAAGTCGTTATGCAGTCATCTACATATCGATTTCCTAATAGATTCATCGACGCAGAATGCCTTACCATTGTCCTTTATCGGTAGATTATCCGTCAGCAAAGCTTAATAAATCGTGCTTGCATCCCTGTCATCAAAAGTGTTTCGTAGTAGACCAAGGTCAAAACAAGCGGCAAGTGTGTATCCGTCTACGATATTTCCATAATCTGTGCACTAAGAGTATTACTAAAATTCTCCTTTCTCAACCACTATGACCAGTTACTGCTAAGTAGCACTGAGGGATTTATCTGAATCATAAGAAATCTTGCTACCATGGAGCTGCAGCCTAATTGCAATTTGTTCTTAAGAAATAATTAAAATTTACTTGTAATACGCCTTCCTCGGGTCCGCTTGAAGAAAGAATTAACATATATGTTTTTACTGTTTGCAGTTTGACTTTAGTGAGTTCAGACCAAACTCCAGTCACCAAAAATTGGCTTGAAGTACGTAAAAGAGTCTTTTTTCTTGTCTTACTTTTTCCTATGAGATCTGATTGAGGCGAGATTTTATAGTGAATATCAGCTTGCTCCATAATCAACAGTTCTGCATAGGATTTTCTAGTAGTCGGGCTTCCGGATTGGGAACTACATTATACTGAACGAAGGGATTAGTTCATCCTTGATGGCCGCTTACGTTGGAATGAGTGTGTGTAGACGATGTCGACCGAATCACACGAAATTAGGGCAGTAAACCCTACTCTGCCAGTGTTTTTTCGTAAGCTCATGAAAGCAACTCGTTCTTCGTCTGAAATCATTGATGATGGTTCTACCGTACGGCTATAATAACAGGATTTTTTCTGATTAGTAGCGAATATCTTGAAAGTCAGAAAATAGATTAAGAAGCTATCATCTTCAATAAGCTTTTATGGCATTTTACATCTCTGTGCTTTCTACAATATTACGGAGATAATCAGTATTGTAGGACATAGATAGCGCAGTGGTAGAGAACCTGTTCACCAAGACATTAATCGGCGCCGTGTCAACTAAACCTGCCATCATTTCGAGTGGGAAAATTGGTATGGAATTTGTCTCAAGAGCTACACAAAGGCTGATGATTGTCCCGCTAAGCTAAGGAACACCTTAACGCGATTATCTCCGGATTCAAGAAAAAATATCTGCTCGACAGGTATTCAAGCACATTCAAAATGAGGAACGAAATCCTCAAGCAGTAGTCGTGCGCACACGGAAATTCGAAGGTCTCCGTTGATGATATTATGTGCAAAGCAGTGAATCGAAATAGAAATAGTGGGATCGGATCGGAACAATACATAAGATAATATCTTGAACAATTCAGGATAAATAAAATAAATAAAATCCACATAACCAAACGTGAACCAGGTAAGGAACGGTTCTTTTTTTTTTGAAGATTTGGTTTCTTTTTTGTTTCTTTGAATGCCCTCGCTTGCAAAAAAGGAAACAAAGCAAGCAAAAAATAAGTAGAATCTTAATATTTTTTCGTTTGAGTCAGAGCTAAATCGCCTTCTGTTTATAAACCTAGCAGCCCCCATCCCGGTTAGTTAAAACTAAGTGTAAGCGCATGCTCGTAAACAACAACGGTTAAAAACAAAAAATTGGACCAAAGATATAACGTCACGGCATTCGACGAGTTTAGTGTTTTTATGCTGCTATTATTTCGTAAACTTGCTTCAGTGTTCTATTGGTGGTACTACTTGAGCAGAGAACGGAACTAACAAGGATCCCAACTGTTATAATTTAATTTGTTGAAAGTATACTGTTACGATGATTCGGTTCAAGTAGATTGAATGATATGTGATTACGGGTAGGTTATCTCTTCTACATTGTTACATTCTATTGCTTTATCGTTGATGCCGTAAGCAATACTTTTAAATTTATGGGCTCTTTTCTTCAACCTCAGTTGTTTCCAAGGACAGAATTTCTGACTTCTTATAAAACGAGCTTCCTATGGTTGAACAATTGTTTCTCAAGGTTTTAGATTTGTTCATTGATTTGATCAATGTTGAGATGAGTAGACATTTGGTCCTAGGATTCTCTCATTTGGTTTACGACGGTTCAGAGCTATCAAATGAGTGCGGGTCTTTGTTTTACAGTGGTTATTACTGCGTTTTGTTTGTGTTTTAATTGCAATAATAATAGTTATTACTGCAGAAATAAATAAAACATCGATTTCAACAGTGTAATGTAATTGAGTCAAGACAAATGCATGGCATGGTAACAAAGTGTAGATGAATGTCTTCACAACTGAAAACTTCCAGTGAACTCGAAAAATGAAGAAAATTTCTATGCCACTTTCGCGGCGCGAGGCGTTCAGCGGCTCTGGCGCTTAGGATGATGCCACGCCCAATTTTCAGGCGCTGCGGGCGTGTTAGTATTCCCAATAACTGGACGTGAGGGGTTGTGAACATGAGACTGTAGAAGAGAACTTGATCTATTGCTCTATAGGTAATACTGATGTTATGTGTGCTATCATTTTTTAGACATTAAGGAGCTTCATCATACAAACACATTTTTGTAGGCACTTGAATGATTTTTGCAACTTATGTTGTAACGCAGTGATATAAAGTAGCATGCAACACACATGGGTCGAGTGCTGGTTTATCTACCGAATCTACCATCTTTCTCTAGTAGGTATATTCGTACCAAACTTGTCTGGGAGTGTAGATACTTTGATTTGGTAAATCGGTAGGCCACCGTACGTGTCCAGATATGCATTCGTTTACCTGTACGATGCTTCGTACGATGTGAAGTCAAATGCATAATAAAACTAAGAATTATTCAACTCTTTTTTACATGTTTTACACTAATGTTGGCTCCGGTGCGCAGTGGTTACAGATGCAGCGCACTTATCGCCCTTCATCCACTTGTTGAACAACATCCATGGCTAACCGAACCCTTACCTCCCTCTTCCTCTTTCTATCCATTTATCCAGGATTTGAAATTGATACCTAACTTCTCTAGGAAGTCCTCTCAGATCCATAAAGGTCGTTGACTTCTGTGGAAAAGACTTAGAAAAGCCCAGCAACCGTGGCTATACTGGTTTCCATACTAGATCAGCTTAACCATATTTCGATGAAATCTACAAAGAAGACAAAAGATTCAATTTACAACGAAACCTAGAAACGCCAAAAACTTTATATATGATAGATGAAAGGTGATGCATACAATGAAAAGTGCAACTATGCGCAATATGTGTAATGATGGGTATACAAGTATGTAAAGTACATATCAAACTAAAACGAGTAATATAATATAACAGAAGCTCGAAATGTCTTGTCATGGAAGAATCAATGTTTGAAAAATTTACTGATTCTCAATTTGCTTTCTTACATTAGAGCTAGATAAATTGCTTTTCCAAAGACTTCTTTTAAATTTAGATTTATCTTGAAATTAAGGATTGAAAGCAACAGAACTTTATTCTACCTGGTAGAGAAAAGCCTTGTAGTTTTTATATTTATCCTCTATTCCTTCATCTTACCATACATCTCCCTTGCATATTGTCACATGTTCGTTATTGTCGGACGAGGTGTTAATACTGTGTGATCTCCTTACAACTATTTATCCCCATGCGTCATGCGTCTTAAAGGATGGAGTTCGTGAATAGCAAAGAACGAGGTGGAGTTTGCGAAAAATGAGTGCGTCCTAGAGTTGAAGGCTTTGACAGATAAGAGAATTCTTTCGCCCTAGTAGTAAAATTTCCGATACAACTTCAATTTGATTACTGCTCATTGTCTATCATGTTAGACTGTTTTCTCAATAAGTGGGAATAAAAAGTGGTAGTGAGAGTAGTAGTAAACGTAGCAATGAGGAGGCTTGGACGAGTGTCGTCGACTATGTAATGGAAGTGTTTCTAACGATCAAAAGAGATCCTGAGCAAAGAAATACTAGGTTGGTGCGGAAGAATGCTTTTCTTTTTATTTTTTTGTGGTATTTTGTCACAGATAACAATAATTATTCATATTTTTACTGTCTATCATTTCAACACTAGTCTACTGTCCACGGATAAAGCTGAAAACCTCTTGGCGTTGATCAATCCCTGAAGGATGCGCCATGTACTCGATAACATTAAGAATCGTTTGGAGTTGATTGAATGCATATGTAGACTTTACAATGACTCGCGGTGGCCTAAAACTGTTCAAACTGTAACAGTTGCAAGTGCCTTTAACACAAATGTAGCAGTCGCTAACGTGAGCAAGCAATTGAGAAGACCATATATCAAAGTAAAGTCGATTGTTTTAAATTACATATGGGACTTACTGCATTTTTGTTTGATTTCGTTGTCGATATATTTTCGTTTTTCTTTCCCAAGATGTTTATTTTTTTGTTATTTTTCTAGCAACCCTTATGGCTTAAGGAAATGACCACATGGGTGCTGAGATTTGAGCAGAAGTCGGAGCCTTAGGTGGGTTTCGACGGTGGGTGGCATTCCAGCCTTCGGTAAGTGTAGTCGCCTGTTCGACGCCCTGCTGAAGTTCTA